GGCAACCGGCATCCCCATGCCCCAGGTTCTCCGAGCCTCGCCCTTGGTGTTTGAGGTGTCACGACGTGATCGTTAATTTCGTGTGTCAACTTGACTGAGTTAAGGGATACGAGATAACTGGTAAAACATTATTTCTGAGTGTGTCTAGGAGGGAGTTTCTGGAAAACACAGCATTTGAATCCGTAGACCAAATACGGGACATCCACCCTCACCACCGTGAGTGAGCACCACCCAGTCATAGAGGGCTGAGATAGAACAAAAAGGCAGAGGAAGAGTAAATTCACTCTCTCTTCTTGAGCTGGGACATTCATCTCCTCCTGCCCTCAGACACTGGGTGCCCTGGTTCCCAGGCCTTCACCTGAACGGCACTGCAGGCTCCTCTGGCTGTGCAGCTTGCAGCTGGCGTGTCGTGGGACTTCCTGGCCTCCATCATTGTGAGAGCCGATTCCCATAATAACTCCGCTCCTATGCAGCCACATGTATCCTACTGGTTCTTTTTCTCTCGTGAGCCCTGACTGATACAGAGGGCCAGGCACTCTGCTCGCTGACAAAATAGTGCCTAGCCGGGGACTCCCTTCAGAAGGGCTGCATCCTCTCTGCCAGTGGAGACAGCCCAGGGTAGAGTCTGGGAGTCTGCTCAGAGGAAATCAACCATCTTTAAGCTACTTCTCTCTTTACTCAGGCAAGGAAGGGGAAGGCCTCTTTCCCCCGACCTTGACATCATGGCTACTTCTTGAAAACCCGATTCCAGCGTCCTGCCCCTGGTCGTGGATTACACGTGTGTTCCTGAGCCGGCCAGAGTGCAGGGCAGCACAGCTGAAGTTCAGTTTATTTTCACAGGTAGAGTAGAGGAAGGCCTGGAAAACTCTTAGGGAAAGGTTTGGTCCCCTCCTCCCGTCTATGGTGAGGAGGGTCATCTGCAGCTTCTCCAGCCCCAGGGCAGCTGTGTGGTGGGTCCTACACGTTCCTCCATGCCTGGGGGCCACGTGGCAGCTCCGCAGTAGCCCCACAGCCCAGCAGTCTGCTTGCCAATTTTTGAGAAGGGCGTTTGCAGTTCTGTTTCAGCCCTTCCAGCTCTACTGTCTAGCTCTCGGGTCTCCTCTCTTCTCCCCTTTTTGTTCTCTCTTTTGCTCTCTCTGTTCCCTCTCCACATTTTTTCAGCCCTCTACAATCTCAATTCTGTCTTAAATCTGTAAGCCTATCCACGTGTTTACTAGGCATATTTAATAGGAAGAATAATGATAACTGCTTCTGTTTGTTTTACTAAGTGATCCTCAGGCAGGAAAAAGGGAAATCCTTTGCCTAGAGTAAAGCTAAAGTCACCCTAAATTTGTATTTGTAAAGAGGAGGAGAACACTAACATTGTGATCATAGTAATGATTCACTGGAATTGGTCTGGTCCCTTTGTATTATGCCTTCAGCAATGACCTTGTTATGGACGAAAGCCCGAGGAAGGAGAGCATCTTTAGGGATTGGGTGAGGTGAGAGATGGCCGAGCTGCCACATCCTAAGCCCAAAAAGAGTCATATGGTTTTTAAAAACAACTATATTAAGGCATAATAGACATACAATAAACTGTACATATTTAAATTATACTTTGATAAATTTGACAAGTGCATACACCTATAAAACTATCACCACAATGAAGGTAGAGAACAAATCCAGCCCCCCAAAGTTTTCTGTGTCCCTTGGTAATCTTTCACTACTGTCCCTCCGGGCCCCTCTCCCATCCCAAGCAGCCACTGATCTGCTTTCTGTCACTGTCCATTAATTTGCATTTCCTAGAGGTCTATCTCAGTGGGACCATGTAACATGTGCTCTTTTTGTCAGATTTCTTTCACCCAGCATAACGATTCTGAGATCCATCCATGTTGCTGTGTATAGCCATAGTTCTTGCTTTTTATTCTGAGGAGTATTAATTGTATGCATATACCACAATTTGTTTATCCATTCACCTCTTGATGGATATTTGAGGCATTTCCACTTTGGGCAAGGTAATAAGGCTGCTATAACATTTGTGTACAAATCTTTGTATGGATAATGTATATTTCGTTTTCTATTGGATAAATAACTAGCAGTGGAATGTGGAGCCATACATTAATAGCTTTCAAGAAGCTGCAGGGATGATTGGAAACAACCTAGGTCTGGCAGTTAGGAAATCTGTGTTTAAGATCAATTTTCCTGTTACTAGCTGTGTGACCTTAGGCAAGGCACTTAACAACTCTGGGTCTCCAGTTTCCTTGTCTGTCAAATGAGATAAAGATTGATCTCTCTGTTTCACATGTATTGGAACAGGACTAAGGGACACAACCTAGGAGGACATTGCCAAGTTTAAAGGCACCACAGAGCACTGTGAAGCCATTTTCAAGAATAAGCTTACAGAAGGGCTAATTCTATGCTTTAGATCTTGCTTTGCCAAGAGATGGAACCATCCAAAAATTTTGGATGTGAAGAATTGCATTTGGTGTTTATTTGCTGCCCACAGTTCCAAAGTTGCACCTACATTTCCTCTTTTGCTGCCTTCCACATTCCCTCCGTCTCCTGTTACAGTCCTTCAGTGAAGACAGGCTATTGAGCAAGGGTGAACAATTAGAGGCCCCCAGTTGAAATTAACGTGCCTTCCCTGCCTTTGGTTCATAAATCCAGGTAGCAAAGCAAAGCTGGAGGGTAGTATCATAGAGCTTAGACCTCAAGAACAGCTCGGAAGTTCTTAACAGGGTGTAAGGACTTAAGAAAAAACTGTCCTTACCTAAGAAAAAGTTGTCAAAGGCACTCATATGTGTGAATCTAGCTTCTCAGGGCACTTTCTCTCCTAAGAGGGGTTAGGAGCAGTGGTTAGTATCTTTGGGATATGCCAGACCGTGTTCACATCCAGATTTCAGTATTGACCTATATGTCTTAGGGATACTACTTCACCTAGGTGTCTGTGTTTTTTCATCTGTAAAACAGGAAAGTTGATAATAATGCTTACTCACCTCAGTTATTCTGAGAATTAACTGAAGATGTATAACTCAGCTATGCTTTGAAAGTGCAAAGCTCTACCAGACTTTTGGAGCCATCTTCCCTTTAGGAAAAGATGATCTTTCAATGGAGGAACTGGGTGGTTCCATACACGTTATGTGAGTTGGGTGGCAAAGTCCTCCCTCATTGTCAAGATAATCATCCTCTGTATATTTGAAATCCCTAGTACTGGTCACTACTTTGAGTTAAGGCAGTGTGCCATCAACTTCAAAAGAGCAAGTACACTTACCTCACAGTGATAACACATGGATTGGGGTATAAATTTGACCATTTTTCTAGCAAAGTTCTTCAGAATGTGGGCATAGAGTAAGTATAGGAAAGAGTGGTTGGAAATGCAGAGCCCCAGACCACACATGAGGAAGTTAAGGGCATCTGATGGGTAGGGAATGACAAATTTTACCTTCTTACTTATTTCTAGGGCTATTCTTAGCCAGGGGAGGCAGTTTACTGAGTCATTTTAGTAGTTCCATTGAAACTCATTCTTTATCTCCTTTAAACGCCCCACCATTCTTTTCTTTTTTTTTTCCCCAAGCTCTTCCATGTCTCAGTTTATCATTGGGGTAGTCTCTTATCATCCACACTCTAGTGGACGGTGAGAGTTTCTTTCGCACATGCTGCCTCAAGATTCTCATGATTTTTCTGTGAATCGGTAAAGGAAACAGATGGTGTTATTTCCGTTATATAGACGGAAAAATGGAAGCATAAAGAGGACAAAAGTCTTTTTCAGGATCACAAATTTAATGGCAAAACCAAGTGGTCAAATGTTGAGAATGCCGGGCTCCTGAGGCTGCCGCTTGGGTGAGACTTCAGGACTCGAGGCCTTGCTCTGATGGGGGCTGATTTTAGCCAGAGAAGGCTTACTCCTGCCAGAGGCAGCACTGGAGAGGGGTCCCAGCCCTTTTGCTCCCTGGTCTTAGGGGTACAGAGTTCTACCAGACACTGTGTCCCATTCATCCAGGGATGCTTCAGGGACATCTAGATCACCTGGGTAAGCAGCAGAAGAAATGATTTTGTCCAGAACATGTCTGCCTTTCAGTTGCCTAGAATGGCTATGACAAGGTGACACTGTATTCTGTTTTTCTATTGGCCAGCGAATCCTAAACAGGCAGGCTCCACAGAGTGCTGAAGTTGTTTCTTTGTGAGCCAGCCCTCCTCACTGCCGGAACTGGGCGTAGGAATTCTGCTTTTCCCAGTTGCCCTCTGCAACATGGTAAAGGTAGATGGGGTTTGACAACCCTGTTTTCAACTTTTTTTATTAGGGAACTGAGACACAAAGAAATGTGATGACTCACTCAGGGTCATGCACCCCATTGATGAAGCTCAGATCTCACTCTCATTTCAGTTTTCTTTCAGCAACACCATGTGTCTTCCTCCCTACCTCTGAGAATTGGGCCTAATGGGTGCTTGTGAGTCTACCTTACCAAATAAAAAGTACCATACTTACCATTTCCTGCTGTCCCTCTCTAGGTGGAGGAGACTGACAGCAGTAGACCTGCTTATTCCTAGAGGTGGTGGCCACAGAAGCACTAGAACCTGGTCACTTCTCTGAGGAGATGACCATGGTCGTGGGCACCCACGTCTCTACATCTTAGCCCACCCTGGGGCTTCTGGATCACCCTTTTCCCTGTTAAGGGTCAACAGCCTTCTTTTTTATTTATTTTTTTATCAGCCTTCTGAAAATGGAACCATCTTCAGGATATGTAGGCTGCCAGAGACCCGGAGAGGGTGATTAGGAGCAAGGAAAGGGGTCAACCCAATGAGGAATTATGAAACAGGTAGCATTTGTCTTTGGGGTCCTCTCTCTTGCCCCTCATGTTGTTCCCTCCCTCTTTCTGTGTTTCTGTCCCAAGCACCAAAATACTGACAATTTGCAGTCCTCACTTTCCTAGACCCATCTCAAGTAGAGTGCATAACGACCCATGCTTTCTACCAAAAGTTCCTCATTCTTTGACCAGAGCCGTTGCCAAGGAGCCAATGGTCTCTATTCCGATGGAGGAATGTATGAGAGGACTTAATGGCTGATAATACCTTATTATCCATTGGACCTTTGCATTTGGAGGGCAGCCCTAAAGCTGACTATGACTCAATAAAAAGGTCTTGGAATCACAGCCACTGTAACAGGTTAGTGGGGAAGGCTTATAATGCTAACCCTTGTGTGTGTCACGTCACACAGAGGCAGCCTGAGGAGTCAAGAAGAAGCCAACCTCCATGGTGAATACCCAGCAGCCTCCCTCTCCCCCAACGCTATGTTTGATGTTTCAAACACCAGCTGATCCACTGAATTTCCTCCATATTTTCATGACTTCCCAGTTCAATATATCTCTTCTTGACCTTAAAAACAAAACAAAACAAAAAAATGTTATTTGTGTGGCCACATGTACATAGATAGTCACACCTTGCCCTTGAAGTCTACTTACCTGGCCACCTGAATGTATTGGGGGCATGGCTGTAGCCCTACCCTAATATTTGTGGGGTCTGAGGCAAGAGTGCAAATGGAGGCCCATATAACATATGTCCAGATATTTCAAAGTTGTAAATCAAGCTAATGGACTATTACCTAAAATATGCCTATCTTCCTATCTTGACAATTGTACCTTCCTAATGGCAAAATTGACAAATATGTCTAAAGCTATTATTTTTATATGACTGAAAGCTGGCAGAAAATCAAAGATGACAGAATTTAATTGTTACTGAGCATATCTGAGTCATTTTTATGGTTTATGGTGTTTGGTTGAGTAATAAAATAAAGGCATATGTGTATTTTATTTTCTTACTTTAATTTCAACAAAAATCACTAATTATGGTGATCAAAATTTTCACACATTTGGTTTTCTATTGGCAGTAGTGATCTAAGAAATAAAAATATAATTGTAATAAAAGTATACAAGTTAATATGTTTTCATAAAAACATTAATATACAGTAAACATAAAACATAAGTTAAAATTATATTTATGTATGTTCTCAAAAAGTTATTTTTCTTGTAAAGTATTTAAAAGTAGTTATAATGAGAGATAAAATATAAACTCTAATTAAAGGTATCAAATTTCTAAGTTGAAGTTATGAAAATAAAGCTGACATTTTAAATTTAATTTTTGAAAATGTAATTAAATCTTATTTTTAAGAAATAAACTTAATGTCCATCTACTTGTTAAGCTAAAGATTTACCATCATTCTTCACAAGTGTTACACCTAGATTTATATACACACATAAATTTAAGAGTAGTATGAACTGGTAAATATTGCAAAATGTTCCCCAGTCACCCTAAGCAACTGTTGTAAATATCATGCTTATTCATGAGTTCCTCTGAAATCATGAATTGGGACACAAAGAAAAGCATGAAAAGAATGCTCAGCACTTCTGGGAAACCAAACTTATGCAAGAAACTATTGAATTCAAGCTATCTAAGAGAAAGGATTTGACAAGATAACTCATAACGTTTATTCTTTTAGCTAAGCAGTTTTAATGCTCAATTTCTCCATATTCTGAAGCGGTGTCAGTGTCATTGTCAGCAGCAGCACAGCCGCGATGTTCATGGCATTCAGACACAGTTGCTTTTTGTTTTGAGAATGCAGGGAGAAAGAGGTGGAGAAGACTTTCCCTGGGGCCCAAACACTGCTGGTCATGGCAGTGGGTGCCTGGGGTTACTGGTTATGCTGTGGCAGTAATGGCTATTGGTCCTGAATGATAGAGGTGCCCATGTGTTCTTTAATAAGTGCACTTTTATTTTGTTTTGTTTGTTTGTGGTAAATAGGCATCTCTAACATATGAGCCAAGGATCCCTCTGAGCTGGGTCTGGGGTGACCATATTAGTCAGGGTTCTCCAAAGAAATGTAGCCAATAGGATCTATCTGTGATCTGTCTATCTATCTTCTATCTATCCAGCAATTATCTAACTATCTAACTACTGAATTGGCGCATATGATTATGGAGGCTGAGAAGACCCAAGATCTGCAGGTGACAAGCTGGAGACGCAGGGGGCAGATGGTGTAAGTTCTAGTCCTAAAGCCAGCACACTCAAGACACAAGAAGAGTCAGTTTTTCAGTTTGAGTCCAAAGGCAGGAAAAGACCCTGTCCAGCTCAAGCAGTCAGGCAGAAGTTTTCTCTTATGTAGACTTTTTATTTTATTTATGTCTTCAGTTGATTAGATGAGGCCCACTCACATTAGGGAGGGCATTTTGATTTACTCAGTCTACTGATTCAAATGTTAATCTCATCTAGAAACACCCTCACAGACCCACTCAGCACAGTATTTGACCAAATGTCTGAGCACTCCATGGCCCAGTCAAATTGACATGTAAAATTAACTATTATAATGACCAAGAGACACAAAATGTGCAAAAAGAGCTGTCCAAGTAGATGCTTCCAGATCCACGGGCTAAAGCTCATAGTTATTGCTTGAAAGATGGGACATTTGTGCAGAAAAGCCTCCATTCTCAGCATTCATGATGACATAACTATACTACAAACTAATATTTAACACCAAATCCTTGTTTCTGAGTGACCAAAAAGATCAAGATACATATAGTATATAAAAAGGTATACATGTAGGTATAAATAAGTAAGAAAATGCATAAAATGGTAGAAATCTCTCCATCTAAAGTTGTCAAGATATTCAGAAGAATATTTATAATAAAGTATGGTTCAGTTATCAGAAATATGGTAAGCTGTGTATAGCTTATTCCCCAATGACTGTGGATCACATAGATTGTAACTGTATATATGCACATATTATAAATTTATCTGATACAATAATTGAGTACTTGACAGGAGCAAAGTACACTAGATTTTTAAAGGGAATTATGAGAGAAATAGAGAGTAAAATCCTGACCCTGAGGAGCCTGAAGTTTTATGAGGGTGCAAAACAGGCCTAAATATTAAATATGTACCCATAAACACAGGCAATGAAAATAGACAGACACATGGATAACTATACACACTTCATTTTTTGGCTTTCCACTCATTAATAATTTGTGATGATTTAGACATGTGACATGGCAAACTGATGTTTACTTTTTGGCCAAGAACAGAGTTTTTAAATAAAACAAAAAAGGAATATTTTCTGGATGTGCCAGGCATTGAGATGTTTCTTTTACATGGATTATCTCATTTAATCCTTAAATAGTTCTGTGGGGGTGAACTTCTTTTTTTTTTTTTTGAGACAGAATCTCACTCTGTTGCCTGGGCTAGAGTGCCGTGGTGTCAGCCTAGCTCACGGCAACCTCAAACTCCTGGGCTTAAGGGATCTTTCTGCCTTAGCCTCCCAGGTAGCTGGGACTACAGGCATGCGCCACATGCCTGGCTAATTTTTTTTCTATGTATTTTTAGTTGGCCAATTAATTTCTTTCTATTTTTAGTAGAGACAGGGTCTCGCTTTTGCTTAGGCTGGTTTCGAACTCCTGACCTTGAGTGATCCACCCACCTTGGCCTCCCAGAGTGTTAGGATTATAGGCGTGTGCCACTGCGCCTGGCCTGTGAGGTAAACTTTTTACAAATGAGGAAACCAAGTCTCAGAACAGTTAAAGATAGATAAACATATATCACCCCAACTCCAAAGCTGTATACCATTCAAACAAACTGGCAAGAAAATGCTTAGCCAGCTTCAGAGGGTCAACTATTGCAAAGAATATTAGAATGTCACATGGACAAATATTGATAAGGCCATTACAGATCATCCTTATCTCTTAGAATGCATCAGCCAATGTTGGGTTGATAGCCTATTTAAATTTAGTGAATGCACTCTGAATAATAAAACTCTTTCCTACATAATAGTCAAATAATTTGACTTTTGGTTAACTTCCAGCCTGCTCTGTCTCTCATTTGAATCTACGTTAATTAAATCTGACTTTTGAGTTTGAATTATGGAGACCAAAGTGTCCTAGCATGGACATTTCTGTGAGTTGGTGGCCTTCAGAGACTCCATTAGGATGAGTATTGACAGTCTACAAAGATGACACAGTTCAAGGGCAGGTTCTCCCCTCTGCCCTTGATCCCAGCAAGGAGGCTCAGAGCTATAAGCAAGGTTGATATACTTAATAAAACATCAATCATCCTGTGCAGTTATATAGTGCTTTACGGGAATAAGGCTCACTGATAATGGGCCTAGCGGTGTGCACTGTGAGTGTGTCCTTAGTGAGTGTTGCTGACGACTGGGATGGCCTGGGCATACCAGCTGCGTACTAGTGTTAGAGACACTTTATTTTGAACTGAGATCAGAATTAGAAAAACAATGCTGGGAATGAACACTCTGCTTGAGTTAAGATTTCTTTTTACAATGTCCTGCTACCTGAAAAAAACGGAGGCTCTGTGTTCACCAAATCTTTGCAGGTAATTAGTGTCAATGATTTATTTCAGAGAAGTCGCGTCGTTCCTGTATTCAGAGATTTAAGTGGTTATTTTAGAACTAGCCAGTGTGGTTTAGGTTTTGATCTGTAGCTTTGGTTTTCCTGTGATTCATATTGATCGTTCCAATTTGTATGCTGCTTTGCTCCATAGGTTCTTGATCCACTTGTTTTTCTCCTCTTTGGCATGGTTATAGGTTTATGTTTCTAATTTTCTATTATCTTTTCTTCTTGGATTTTCAGCATTTGCACTCATAGTGGCTTATTTTTATTTTTATTTTTTAATAGTTCTTGTTTTTGTTTATTTGCCCTGCTGTCAGGCCTGTTTGGCCTTGTCCATGAGATAATGGAAATGAAAGTGCTTTGCAAGCTGTAGAGCACTCTTCAAATGTAAGAGATGATTACTATTTTATTAAAAATAATAACCTTGTTTATAGCTCTGAGTCTTCTTGCTGTAATCAAGGGCAAAGTGGAGCACCTAATTGGACAGGTGGGTCATTTTTATGCACTGAGAGCCTAGTTCACAATAGCTCTAGCAACCTGTGTTCCAGCCCTAGGATCTCTGCGAATGTGGATTACAGCCTGTGTCTAATCTGGACAATGGAGTCATAAGCCTAAAAAGGAGACAGGCCCACACAGGGAGACCCCAACAGCCCAAATGGTCTTTCTCGATGAACAATTCCTGACTTGTGCCCATGCCCTGATCTTGAAGGCCTGAAATACTCTGCCAGGCCAAGATTAGGCTTAGGTTCCACCCTCCTCCTGATTAATGGGCAAAGG